AAGTTCCCAGCAAAAAATTTTTAAATACATTTCTTAGTAAACTCTATCATAGTGCTTCGTTCTCTTCGTATTTTTTTTCTTCCTGCATATACGTATATGTTCATATATATATCGTTCTTATATCCTGTATATATATAGCATATATACCATTGAAAAAGAATTCCACTGGCATTCCTTTTTTTCACGATTAATTTTTTAGTTGATGAGAAAAGAATTCAAAATGAGCACTCTTCAAGTTAAGGGGGGACTTACCCCCCCTCGACCCCCGTTTTTTTTTCAGCCATTTTGTAGAGAATTTAAAACTGCATATATTCTCAAATTTTTATTGAATACGGACGGATTTTGATGGAGCTGGGCCCCCCACAAGCCATATAGTCATTATAGGCTCCGGGGAGGTATGTATTTGAGAAAATTTTTCAAACTCAAAATTTTGACCTGTTTTTTATATGGTTTTATAGAGCATTCAAAGTTGTATATATCCTGAAATTTTCATAAAGATTGGATGAGTATTCTTTGAGAAATATTGATTTTTCTATTAGGTGCATTTTTCCCTGTCCAAAAGTATGTCTTTAAAACCTTGCTCGCAATAGCAGACCTACAGTACATTGCAAGAAAAATCCGTTTCAGCAGAAAGATGCTCCATCAAATCCTGGGTATACTGAACGAGACAGATTTTTTTTTCGCGAACACCTTGAATGAAAAGCATGCTCAGTAAAATGTGCGTGAAAATGAAAAAATGTGAAAAACATGCCTTTTTTACTTAACATATTTTTTAACATATTTATTACTTTTAGAAAAAATGAACAATTATGTATCATATATAGTTTGATAGAGAATTACATAAGCAATAAAATCATATATAAACTTACGAGAAAATACTATGGCATGATGAAGTTGAACAGACAAATATTTGCTTATACTAAGATTTATTATAATAGATTATGAAATATTTTTAAAAAAATTTTCAAATACTCTATTTTTTTGGCCTATCATTCGTGCTTTTGATTACAATGTCAATCAGCTGCGAATTCTAAGAGAATGATTTCTAGCTGGGAAACCGAGAAGGCATGAAAATATGAATATAAATGTTTAAATCTAGTCTGGCTCATTCTGATCGATCTTTCTACTTTTTCTACAACAATGTTTTTTTAGGTTTAAAACAATTAGGTCCAATAGATGTCACTTCTGTTTTTTATAAATGGTTTATTTGAAATATTCGATTTTCGTTCGTTGAATTCATTGATAATTGTTATAAACGGAATTAAAGTAGTTTTCGTAGTATAAACAGTTATGTGCATAGTTTCAAGTATGAAGAAGAAAAGTAACGCCATTATTTTTTTCTTTTCCGTTGGTGTTCGACCAGTTTTACAGAACCAAATTGAAAATGACTCAATGCGAAGCGTTTTTGTTTGAGTAGAACTAAACTAAGATGCCGCTTAAGTCTCTAGTTATTCTGATAGTAATATAAGAAAAGAAGAATGACTACTTTTGTATGCAAGCTTTACAAATTTAAGAAGTCAATTTAGAGACTTTCGTGAAATAAACTGGTTTACATGTACACTTGTAGATTTATTATTGATGAATAGTGATACCAGCTACATTTTGAGTGGATCTTCATCCACAGTTAAACATCCAACGATTTCTTCTCGAAAACAGAAAAGAAAAGATTCCATGAATTTTAAATCTAAATATAAACAATCAACGATTAAGAAACGTTTTGGAAAGAAAAAAAGAAAACGTCATTTTAATAGAAAATTGTCCGAAGGACAATCAATGTCGACAACGTCAAAAATTTTTTCATCATTAAAAGAGTAAGGAAAAAATCATTTGCTCCAGCAGCTGTTAGATTTTATTTCATTGTTCTCAAGCTATTGTTTTCTTTAATATATGTTTAGTATTTCCGAAAAATCTGTTACATCCAAAACATCACAAATGTTCGACGTACAGCATCTTCAAGAGATTCTCAATAAAGCTCATGTTTGTTTTGATGAAGGTCGATTAGAATTTATACCTGATGTATCACCATCTATTGGCTTATTTCATCAAAACGTTTTACGTTGCACCAAGTGTCTTAAAGAGACACCTATGTCAAATTTTCCAATAGTACATCCTATTGAATCAGAACAACAGGAACCAAATAAGCGTTTAATTTTGGCTGCCGCAACAACAGTTGTTGGTTATCGTACAACAAAAGCAATTATGTCATCATTATGTTTATCTATACAAAGTGAAAGAACGTTTTTATATCAATTGCATAAGCATTACGATTCTTTACATGATTATGCACAAGAACATTTTAAAAAAATCATCAACAAAATAAAGTATAGAAGCAACAATACACAAGAGATAATGGACATAACCGTGTCAATTGATGGTACATGGAAACGTAGAGGTCATATATCAAATTTTGGTATTGTCTTTGTAATTGATGTTCAATCAGGTATGTGTATTGATTATGAGGTTATGTCGTTATTATGTGAAGCATGTGTTATGAAAAAAGCAAAATTATCAAAAACACAATTTATTAAATGGTATAAAAAACATCAAACACTTTGTCACAAAAATTATGATGGAACATCAAAATCAATGGAAAAAGAAGGTACAATACGATTATTTCAAAGATCGTTGACCAATGGTCTTCGATACAAATATATGGTATGTGATGGTGATGCATCAGCATTTGAAGCCATAAAATTTTATTATGTTCAACAACAACAACAAACATCTTCAAGACAAGGTAAGCTAATTTCAATGGATGAATATCATAAGATAAATTATGCTGCATTTAAAGGTGGTGCTGAATCACCAGATTATAATAATTTTGAACGTGGTAAAGGTTTTGAAGGTGAAGAACTACAAGATGATGATGTTAAACTTGATGCAGTTTGTTTTGGAAGTGAAACTCGTAGA